TAGATGCTAAATATTATGTATAATAACACATTAGTTTCCACAGTCATAAAAATGGGGGGGAAGATTGTTTGTTTACAGGCTGGTTAATTGTATAATTTTTACGTAAATTCACGTTTTTCGCTTATAACTTTTTTCCATTCCTTTCCACGAGAAAATAGTAAAGTACTTTTTTTTCGTCTTCAAAAGATCTAAATTGTTATTTATCATATTAATAAATTGACAACTAATAATTAGTACCAATTGAATAATTTATTATCAGAATAATTATGGCAAATAATATTGATGACGAATATGGCGACATGCTCCAAGTGTTTTTCGAATCCAGAAAAAATAGTAACGCTACAGTAAGATTATACCGCTACAGAAAGAAGCCTTCGCGAAACTGGTAAAATTCAGCCCAATCGTGAGGGTGCTGGAAGAAGCCGTAATGTCCGAACTGTTGAAACTGACGAAGCTATACTGGAACATCTAGACAAGACTGTGGTACAAGCACAAGACAGGTGTCCAGGCAACTGCAAGTTTCTCACAGTCTTGTGTGGAATGTAGCTCATGAAAATCTTTTATACCCTTTTCACCATCAACCCGTGCAATAATTGAAGATTTACCTAACCGCGTGGATTTTTGTCAATGGTACATTAATATTTCCAGGCATGACTTAAATTTCCTAATGAATATACTTTTCATCGATGAAGCAAATTTTCCTAGAGTAGGTGCAGTAAACCTTCATAATGTTCATTCATGGTCGGAAGAAAATACTCATGAAATATTTGTTTCAAGATGTCAACATAATTTCAGTTTAAACGTTTGTATGGGAATTGTAGGAAATACTCTGGTAGGTCCTTTTATTCTTCCACACAGGCTTGGAGCGACCGAGTATCATATTTTTGAACGAAATTCTTTCAACATTACTTCAGGATGTACCCCTCGCTACACGTCAGCTGATGTGGTATATGCACGATGGGGCGCCTGCACATAGTACACTTGCCGTTAGAGAATGGTTAAATTTAAATTACCCGAATCGCTGGATTGGTCGTGATGCCCCTGTTTGTTGGCCTGCACGTTCACCTGACCTAACGCCTATGGATTTCTTTTTGTGGGGACACATGAAAAGTATTTTTTATGCCACTCCTGTTGCCTCCTTAGAAGAACTGCGCTTAAGATTATTTCAGGCAGCAGATGACCTTCGCAGTAACCAAAAATTCTTTGTGCGAGTGCGTTATAACTTCAACAGACGTATTAGGTTATGCTTACACCAAAATGGAAATTATTTCGAGAATATTCTTTAAATTTAATTTTGCATTTCTTGTTTTTCGTTTGTATTAAATTTTATTTCAGATAAATAACTTTAGCAAATTATTTTTCATGTTATTATTAAATTACCTGCTTATTGACAGAAAGTGTCAATTTATTAATATGATAAATAACAATTTATTTGTTGTGACATCCGCCTACTTTATTTTTACAAATTTTCCCCTTTAGTGAACGATGACGCATCTAATTTTTTTACTAGAAAACTATCGGTTTTATCGAAAAATTACAAGAGGTAAAAAAGTTGCGCAATAAATTAGTCTTCCCAATAAATATTTTTAAATAAATAATTTGCATCATATAAAAAATTTCTAATAAAATATTGCAATGGGGTTTGACTGTTTCACTCCTTTACAAAATTCGCCAATGACCGAACAAATATTGAAAAGTTGTCTCTTTATTAGTAGGATGCTCGTACCAAGTTTCGTGTCTCTAGCATTCCTAATGTTAAAGAAAAAAAATAAAATGTGAATTTCAATCCCCTCCTTTAAGAGGGTATATCGCCTCAGGGGTGCAATTTTCATATAAGGTATTTTTGCTTCAATCCTCTTACGTTTGGCTCTACATACACTGGTACCATTTTTGCTACTTCATCGACCGAATCTATTTTAGTTCTTTCCTGACCAGCGCTGTTTAGCACACGTAAATTTTAGTTTAGTATACCGATTTCAGACGCACTCTGTACAAAACGTCTTTCTCGGTTATAGTCTGTTTAGAAATGAAAGAGAGTAATAAATGCTTATTATGTATGCAAATCGTAAATAAATGTAGTACTGGTGCTTACATTCAATTATATTTTTATATTATGTATTATCGGTATAGATGTACTTTTAAAAAAACTTTGTGTGACCGGGTTGTACTAAATTGTAACAGGTAGCTAAAATTTAATCCCCGACAATCCGTCTTTGTCTATGCCGCTTCAATTTCTCGGTCCATTTCTCTTATAAGTAAACAATATAAAAACAGCATTTCAAAACATGAGGCTAATTTAAGCATCATAACCGGGCTAAGAGTGTTTTTAGTAATTCAAATAAAATTATTCAATATTATTATCAAAATATTTATTTAAATTTAATGAATAGACTTTTATTCCACACAAAAATATATGTATTTTGAAAATTCAAATTATGGTGAGTAAATGTAGTGTTGTATAAATGTACAATAAAGAAAATAAAAAAGTAGGTATATTAAAATTCATCCTCTAAATATTCTGATGAATTATCTTCGTCTCCTAGATTGATAACGATAGGTTCCACAGTAACGTCAATTAAATTATCGAGTTCCCACATTTTCTCCTCTTCTTTTTGTACATGATGTATACATCTTCGCCAATTATCTGCAGTTACTCGTTCCAAGGAAATTTTTAACAAAATTTTCACGTCACTTAATTTAAACGTCGTATTATTTCGGGCTACATCTCCTTTTACCTGCGCCCAGACTAATTCGATTGGGTTAAGTTCACAGTGATAAGGTGGTAACCGTAGTACCGTTATTTGGGGATTTGTTGTCGTTTCATCGATAACATATTTTTTCTGATCTTTATTAAGATTGACAAGTGTCAAAAGTTCCTTTTTCACCATATTTGTTTCAAAAGAAATGTTTTTTCCGGATAACCATTGAATTATATCGGCTTTCCTCCAAGCAGTCGTAGGCGTCCACTGGGTCTGCCGTGAATGGTAACTGGCATTATCCGTGACAGTTACATACCCCGGAGGAATAAGATCCAACATCTGTGTAAAATACTCTTCGAAAACATCTGCGTTCATGTCTTCGTGATAGTCACCTGTATTTTTAGATTCAAATAAAAGTAAACCGCCATCTACAAAACCACTGGCACTATCTATATGTGTCACTATTAATCTTCGCCCTTTACCTGAAGGTGCCTTGAACCCCGTTGAAAGTCCATCCAAAAATGCTTGTCGAAAACTTTTCACATTTTTATCTTGCCATACTTTTGTTACAGTATATCCCTCGTTGACCCAAGTTTCGTCTAGATAATAAATATTCCTCCCTTCGTCATCACGGTGTATTTTCTAATTGATCTTAAGTAGGATCTTCGCCAACAAATAATTTCATCTTTATCGATAAGAACTGACTTCCTGTTCTGCTTTTCCCAGCAAAAATTCAACTCTCGTAAGACGGCCCATAATTTGCTTCCACTGATTTTTGGCAAATCGTCCTCTGAAAGTTCACTTAAAATTTTGTTTAGCGTTGGTATTTCTTTTTTAAAATAAAATGAGTGTACTTTTCTGCGAATGACATTTTTGAAGAAATCATCTATAACGACTTCTGACCCCCCGTAGATGATTTTGGGGGATTTACAGTATCTTGTTCATTTTTTGTTTCCTTTAAAAGTCTGTAGATAGTCGATTTTCCAATCCCTGTCATTTTGGAACACTTTTCCACGATGTCGTTAACACTGTTGGTAGGATTTTAGTGTTTCAATGCATTAAATACATTTAATATAATAATTTTCTCATTCTGAGACAGCGCACATCTTTTCACGCGTTTAGCAGGTACGTAATCTGATAAGCTCCACATTTTACCCAAACAATATTATATCCACTGGCACAATAGTCACTAAACACAAGTCGAATTTTACTCTACTGCAACTAGCACGTCTTCGTATATTCAGCTCTAAGACTGGATTGATCTGTCACAATACACTGGCTTCTGCCCTATGATGTATCCAGTAAAATATATTAATGTACACCCATTATCTGATAGCATTAGTGTTGCCCGATAATTACCTAAAACGAAATATTACCACGCCCATGGCCGGTCCTTATCTCGGGGTTTTATTACTCTCTTTCAGTTCCAAACAGACTGTAGCAAATTTTTAATAAATCGAATTAGCTTTACTAAAACATTGTCAATATAGCGGGATATAGAACCCTCTTAAAGGAAGCAGTTCCATTGAAATATCCAATTTGCCCCTCACCGTTGAAATATAAGAGCTTTTCTTATGAAAATTTCATTTTCTCCCAATATAAGCCATTCTCCGAAGACACGGCCTCCCCCTGGCTCGCCATTTAGAACCTCTTGCGGCCCGGCGAAATTTTTAATTAAACCAGAGCCCGAGAATCGACTTAACGAATTGATATCGTCGGAAAAACTTATTGCCCACTTAATTAATACGTCTGCGACTTTGCAGCGGCTTAAAGTTCGGCGATATTTTAAATTTAGAGATGCGCGGTCGGGCGGGATATGAATTATTTATGGAAGTTTGGAACAAGTGGAAAGTCTTTTATTGCGGCCCTTTTTCACTACTTCCGACGCGTTCGTTGGGGGCAGGGAATAGTGGGATATATGGCCGGATCGGAACTAATTTAAAGTTAAACAAATTGGATTCTGCTCTGCAGAAAATAAAGTAATTTTACAAACTACCAATGACTTAGTGACCTTAATGTGTAATTTTACACAAATCTTTTACGAATGCAATACGCCACACATACCAAAAGAATAAGCTTCGCCGTGTTTTGATTCGATTAAAGCAGGGCACTCTGCGACGAAGCCTATCGCGCTGATGTACATCGCGAAACAAAACAATCGCTTTACCCACTAATCCCCCCGTTTTTCCTGTAGCCCTCATTTAGCGATCGCTCGAATCCCACCGCGTTCGGACAATCCATCAAATCCGGAAACGTTGTTTATTCAACGAGATCCAGCTGTACTTTTTTTTTCTGTTTCAGGATTCCGAGCTGTGCATAGCGCTGGCGTTCGCGTTGCAGTACGCTCGCCTCTGCGTGTTCTGCTGGATGCTGCTGATGACGCACAACATGCACAACCAGTTCAGGACGGGCCTGCACCTGGTGCCCACCACCGATAACCATATCGCGAAGAATTTCGTCAGGTAGGGCCCAATATAAGATTAATTAGGGATAGTTGAACAATTGAAAGAGGAAATAGTATATTTTCAGAATTGAATATACAGGGTCGGAAAGTCCCCATGGTTCATCGGCCGTTACGTGGAGCGGTAAAGAAAGTCAAGAAATCCGTGCGATAGAGAAAGAGGGCTATAATGAAGGCGTCTAATAGTCACCGCCCATCCACTTCTTATTTGTGGAAGGGCGAAATGGGCGGTGAAGATTAGACGCCTTCATTATAGCCATCTTTCTCTATTGCACGGATTTCTATGACTAACTTTATCGCTCTCACGTAACGGCCGATGAACCATGGGGACTTTCCGACCCTGTATACAATAACTTAGTTTTTAGTGTTTAAGCAACAGCTTGATAGCAAATAGTGCATTTTTTTTTGGTGTTTCAATGATATAAGTAAGAACAAATTTCAGAAACAATCTAAAAACATCTATATTTTAATATTTTTAGTAAATCTGGCAACGCCGAATAATATTTCGAAATTATTATGGAGTAGTCTCATATATTTATAATTTCGAAAAATTGTGCGGTGTTTCAGATTTAATAAAAATGTTAAAAATAGTTTTTTGTGGTTGATGATGGTTTTTCTTAGCCGAAACGTCGCAATGAAAAAGCGTTTTCTAAATAAAAAAGTTACAGATGATTTTTTAAAACGCCACATTTAGGTACTTTTTTCAAAATAACTCAAAAACCTGAGGAGTTAGGACGATCTGCAAGCACCATTAAGTTAGCAACAGAACTGTCCCCATCTAACCATTTTCCTTCTTTTATAGTTTCTAATATACCAATGCATGTATCAACAAAATGGACCACCGTGTACATAACAGAATTCAAACTTTTCGAGGTAACTATTGTTCACTAATCTACCAATTTCCAGAATATTTTTGAACATTTTGATTTTCTCTTCTTCTTCTTTAATATTTTGGATTGGGATCAAAATAGTGAAATATAAAAATACTGCTTTGTAGAAGAAGTTTTTTAGAACAAAAAAGATACTTTGCGCTTTTTTCGTCCGAGCTATGGTTTGTCTGGAAAAAAATATTAAACCCATGAAGTCATCTTCCGCGGCCACCAAACAAGCGAATAAATTCACTCTACAAACGTAATTGTCGAATTTCACTCAAATATTGAATACATTAATATGTAGATATGAATATTCGAACTTAATTCAATGCAAAAAAATAAAAAATTAAAAAAAAATAAAAATTTCAAAAAATGTTCGTAAAAAATTTTCCTAATTGTTTTTTTTTTTGGATTTTCGAATATACTGAAGGTAGTAAATAGTAAATATAAGGTAATATTGACTATTTTTATTGGAAAATTATATGCATATTTTTATTACAAAATCATAGGAAAAAAATTATATAAAATCATCTACATCTTGTTCATCATCGTTATCATCGTTATCAAATCATCGCAATTTATACCTGTTTTCACATATACTGTATTTCCTACATGGATACGACCGTTAAATTTTGAATAATTTTTGTAAAATAAAGTTTTTTCCTATAGTTACTTGTTTTCGAGATATGTCGACTTCAATATGCAATGATGTAACAGGAAAATTTATTTAAATCGCACTGAGACAAAATATTCTTTTAAAATATTGTAATAATGGCTTTATTAACACCATATACTAACTAACAAACAATAAATTATAAAAAAAACGAGTGATCAACTACAGAAAAAAAAAATCACAGTGGTAAATCTTATAAGGGGCAGAGACGAACTGTATTTTATCAAACGTTATTATAAAATACAGTCATAGGTGGCTCATATCATTTATTTAAAATAAAACATGTACGACAGATCACACATATTATTTTCCAATAATTACCAATAATTACAATACTGTAATTACTATAATTTCCAATAATTACAGATTTATCTACCTTTCACCTACCTTTCAATTTAACTATAGTACTAGTTATAAGATTTACCATTGTACAATTTTTTTCTGTAGTTGATCATATGTTTTTTTATAATTTATTGTTTGTTAGTTAGTATGTGGTGTGAATAAAACCATTGTAACTGTAACAATATTTTGAAAGAATATTTAGTCTCAGTGTGATTTATACAAAATAATAGATTTTCCTATACATCATACAATGCATATTGAATCGACATGTCTCGAAAACAAGCAAATATTGCGAAAAACATATATTACAAAAATTACTCAAAATTTAACGCTTTTCAGATGGACTGTATTTCCACGTATCAGGGATCAAAAAATTTTCTAGTATCGCCATGCCATCTATACAGAAAGATTTGAACTAATAGTTCTAACTACAATTTAAAGCTATTCGAGAGACTTAACAACCCTAGTTCCCGGAACTAAAATAAATTTCTTCATTTCGGAGATATTGGCAGCGGGAGTGTTAAATGGCACACCCTGTACATATTTTGCCGTAAACTCGAGATTCCTAAAATTTTTAAAAAACCACAAGGTCGTATTTCGTAATTAGATAAAAACCATTACCCGGAAATTTTATTTGTGGATTTGAAGTCACCTAAATTCCCGACGTTGAAAAAAATCGAACTATCCTTATGTTTAAGTATATTTGTCATTGAGACTCTCGGTTTTCGATTCAAATAATAATGCGTAAGTCTTTGTAGCATGAAACAAATTAACCATACAATTGAAAAGTTTAGAGTTCTTACTTGAAAAGGGGCTATCACAATTATTATTAAGGAGGTTCGATACCGAAAAAAAAAATGGTAAGAAAGTTTTCAAAGCAATTGAAATCTGTTAATAAATATGCAAACTATCTCGTGTAAAAATATCAGATCGATTGCCAATGTAGTTTTTTTGAAAAATGATATTAAAAATTGTGCTCTTATACACAGGCTCTTATGGGAGTTGGGGCAAAAACTTTAATCAAACGTGAATATTGCTCTTAAAAATGGTTAGGATCGGGAAAATAAAATTGTAATTAAAGAATTAAATATTACTAAACATTTTAAAACAATAAAAATATGCATTTACAATGTAATTATTGAGATAATGGAATGAATATATAACGTTTTGACAAATTTGAACAAACATCTGATCCAATGAAAGGAAATATGGCAACACTGTACGCTTTATTTAGCGCTTCGACTGACGCGCTATATTTGAATAGCTCGATTATAGACTATAAAATTATTCTAGTTGAAAACATATGTAGTAATAATTAATATTAAATACATTTTTCGTGATCTAATGCAATATAATAGCAATTTGAAACAAAAATTGAAACGATCTCTTTGCAAAACGAACAGTATAGATGTTCTGTCATAATCTTCAATTTGACAAGGCGACGTCTCACTATCATACACTGAACTTCTTGATAGTTATCATTTGGATTCTCGGTTTGCACATTTTACTTTTTTCTCAGCAACCCACATTCTGTTTCATACGCATTTTATATTACTTTTCAGTCATTCATTACTTTTTGTTTGTACCTTGGATGTTCATTCATGTTTACGGAATAAGCGCAAAGTTGACAGTAATGACAGTTGACCCAACTTTTACCACCACGCCATAACAATGTTGCCAGATTTCATCCATAATTTTACAAGCTCTTAATGAATAAATAGACACTTTTATTCAAATAAAAAGTTAATTTCATTAAACACGAAAAATATATGCAAGCTAATATGTGTTTTATAAATTTCATTCGTATATATTATATTTAGTTCACACAAATTAATTTATGTAAGGTTGGTACTACAACGAAACTACCGTGTATAAGCATAGGCCTATGCAATAGTTTATAATGTAGAGCGCCAGCTTCAAAAAATTGGTTCTCACGCGGCTGGCCGAGCTTCGCGCGAGCGGAATGCATACCTGATTTATAGATTTTTTTCCGGCCAAATCATCGCTCGGACGAAAAAAGTACAAAGTATCTTTTTTGTTGGAAAAAACTTCCCCTACAAGCTAATATTTTTTATTTCCATCCATCTTCATACCAATCCAAAATATTAAAGAATTTCGAAAATCAAAATGTTTTTCAACATTTTTTTGGAAATCGATAGATTAATGAACTTTTTCTTATATTAATCTGCATACTTTGAAGTACTTATAACAAAAAAATCAGCCATATTGCTAGTTCCTTGTTTATGTGGCCTCCACCGACTGGGCTGGTACTTTTTTGGAGTTGTATTGGTTATATCTTTAGAAGACTGTCTCACTCTTTTGTCCATTATTAGGGGCGCACGAATTTTTATCGTAAACGAAACGTGCGATCTTCCAAATTTCCTTCATTTAAACTGTTATCCACCAGTAAAACCGTTCAAAGCGCTAGAATCCGCGCTAGTATCAATTTTTTTTTAAAGCGAAGTGTCATCGCAATCTCAATTTCCCCCATTGTTCGTGTTTACTTTCGAGGGATTCACTTCGCCGAACAAACAAAACCCGGCCATTGTATTTACAATTAATCGTGCCGCAATTATTTTCTCGAGGCCTACGCGATTGGTACGAACAAAGCACGGGAAAGAATGCTTTCGGCGGGAAACGACGCGTGTGAGCCGGAGGGAGGGTTTGTGAATTATACGTTCACTCGAGCGCCCATCAAATGTCCGAGAGGATCGCGTTCGAAGGGGATCCGGCAATTTTTTTTGAGTGGAAGAGGAGTATCTGGACGGTCGTGATGGAAATAATTGAGGCTGGCGCCGCGTCGCTTGTACCGTATTTTTTATTTTTGTTTGCCTCGTGACTGGTGTGGTAATTTTGCTAATTTTTTTTTGTGGATGTCGTAGAAAGTCGTAGATTATTCCTTTCTGATTTTATAACAGTTGGTCAATCACAGTGTGCTTAGCCACGGCAATCAGTGTATCAAAAAATGATTCAGTAATTCATTAATTAATTATTTGATCAATTCATTAATTATTACTCAAGGGGGACATCTGAAGAAGCGACTTATCGAAGAAAATTGAGAATAGATGCGTCATGAAAAATGGAATCAGTATCATACATTTTTTTTTGTAAAAT